AAGTACAGAGTTCCAATCACAGGCACAGAAGAGTGGAAGACAACTGCAAATTAAGTAAATAAAAGAAAGAACCAGAGACTTTTGTTGCCCAGATTAATTGCCAAAATGAAGTTAACGCTGTGGTGCAAAATTGAATTGGAGATGCCGATAAGAGCTACTGAGAACAGAGATCGCCGTCGAATGCCGACCCTGTCGTACCGACCGAAATTTCTGCCGCCAACGGAGACTCTGTTCACCGCCACCGGAAATTGTCACATATAACACCACCGGAAAATCAAACTCAGCCGTACCGACCGGAGTTGCTCCGGGGTGAATTCATATCTTCTCCCTCCGATCACTCTCTTTTTATACTGCTCCGCCCAACTGCTTCTTCCGCTTATCAAACGGATCGCCATAGGAATCCAAATGCGAAATATGGTTCTGCTTTGTGTAGCCCTCTGGCCTTGCGCTTTTCTCTCTCGTAAATATTGACTAACAGTAATTTATTAAATGACCTATTAATAATAATAATAATAATAATAATAATAATAATAATAATAATAATAATAATAATAATAAACTTAATAGAGACCAAATATAACTAATCTACATTTTTTAAACACCTACTGAACATGTACTACTAAAATTATTAATATTGTCATTAAATTAGAATCAACGAATTATTGGACTAACAGAATTCAAATAATAAAATAAATATAATAAAAACAACCTAAAATGAATAATATTAACAAAGTTATTTAATCAAAATAATAAATAAAACTATATATAAATTAATCAATTATTGTAAATTAACTATAAAAATATCATTAAAAATAACACTAAAAATAATGTTTATCAATGCCTCATTATGATGTTACCGTTAGGAAATTGATATAAGTATGACCTCTCCTCAGCCAGAGAGGACACGCTCAATATTTTGTGCTGAAACACTTAGCAATACAACAATTCATTATTCTCATATTATATTTCTGGTAACATACTTACCGTCATTGGTGCTTTCGTTGAGAGCCTGAGTTCAATACTTAAGCAGGCGACTACACACACAACTCACTCTTTCTTTCAACAGCAAGCTTGAAAGCATGGTGTCCGGCAGCTCCCACGATTCCCGCAACTTGAACAACGGCAACGCCTAAGGTGAACTTCGAGACCAACTCACCAACAATCATGGAGGGGACCTCTAAGAACAGCTCAATAACAGGAGGCCCGGGGACCTTCGAGAACAACCCAATAATGGAGGAACAAACCAAGCCGTGAACCTCCAGGCGACCGCCAAAGCCATTTGGCAAACGTCAACGACACTAACTCATGCAGCGGCGGGATTGCAAGGCCAAGTGCCCCCGTCGCGGCCCCAGAAAGTAGAGGTAGAGTCCCTACGAATGATAGAAGCCCAGCAACAACAGAACACAACCCGTGCAGCGAGGGACGCGGGACGTCATACCAGGACAGGGGGTTCAGAGGAGGGCACCCAAAGAAGTGGGCCGGCCAGACGGCGACCAGGACCTTCCCAGTCCGCCCTTGATCGATTGGGACATAGGGCGCCCGTGCGGCAAAGATTGGGATCGCGGGCCGAGGGGTCCTCCACCAGAAGCCCTTGTTGACACGAAAGCATATCAGCAGAGAGATCACCTGTGACACCCCGTAGATCCAAAATCTATTTAAGGATTAATTAGATAATTAGTCCTAGCTTAATTGGTAATTTATTCCTAAAATCCAGAAAATTCAATAGTCGGAGGACTAGAAATTGACTAGTCAATCCAAGTCAAAGAGTTGTACTCTATGCCTTATGAGTTGTTCCCTTGTCACCTTATTCTTCCAACTTTAGTAAAGGCAAAGAAGACTTTTTACCTTATGTTTGTGCCCCAAGCTAACCTAGCATCATCCTTCATTTCATTTCCCTAACACCCTAAACACAAAAGCTCCACCTTCTCTCTAGAAACTTGATAGCTTCTTCTTCAAGCCAATTTTTGGGCAATCCTAGATTCTACAAGTTGGTCTCCAAGATTCATACTTTCTTAACCTTGAGCATAGGGAAGGGTAAGATCTTTGGTCTCTTGGTGTTTTTAGTATGTTTTTAGGTGTCTTTTTCTAAAGATAGAATCTTTGTTGTCTTTTGGTATGTTCATGAAGTTGGAGTTGAAGGAGATCTTTAAGAGAAGCCTTTAAGGGTGTGAAAAGTGAAGTATTAGACTACAAGAGGTAACCCATGTTTTACAAAACCTATTTTCTTACCTATATGATGATTTCTTGACTTCTACTTGTGATTTTTGCTATGAAATGTGAGATTTGATGCATTGTCTTGTGAGAATGCATATCTAGAGCTTGTTATTAGGATTCTTGTATGCCATTGCTTGGTTATTTCTTGGGTTCAAGTCATATTGTTGTATTTTGTGATATTTTGGGTGTTTTGGACTTGAATTTGAACTTGTTGTTGAAAATCCCCGAAGGGATATTTTGTGGTACAGGGCGTACCCGCGGGTGGAACGGCGGGCAGTGGCCTACCCGCCGCCCCACCCGCGGGGTACACCTCTCGTGGGTAATGGTACCCGCGGGCGGAACCACGGGTGGAGGTCCACCCGTGGCCCCACCTGCGGGGTACATGTTTGGTGTCGGTCGGGGATTTGTTCCCCGTGATTCTTTTGACTCGGTAATTGATGTTTTGACCTCCCGATGTTGTTTTATTGGGCTATTTGAGTGTCTTCTTGATGTTTCATATGTCTAGAACGGTATGTTAGGAATCCGTGTAGGATTTGGTGTCTTGAATCGTGCTAAGTGTTCAACTTTGTGATTCGTTGGACCATGATGAGTCTTGTATATTCTACGGAACTATGTTTGGTTTACCCGTTTGATAAGCATGCTAGTTTGATGTTGAAATGCTAGCGTGTGCGGTTTGTTCTTTCCTTTTGAGGATGGCAACTTGTGTTGACCATCGTTGGAGTCGGATTGTAATCCTTCCTTGTTGAGTATGGTTTCATTTCTTTGTTGTGATCCATTGATTGATTCCTGTGATGAAAATGTGTGTATTGGCTGTACCTTGATTGCACGGTTAATGGTATGGGACATTAATCACCAAGGTACAGATGTGGTCCTCGTGGTGGCCATGAATTGAGATTGGTGGTTTGTTATTTGAGCTTTGCTCATGAGTTTGGCAGTTTTGTGACATGATATTGCACAATACCCTCATGTACTGAGCGTTCGGCGGTATTGATTGACGGTTGTTGGAGGGGGGAACGACGGTTCCCAGAGGCAAAAGGTTGGACTTGGAAGTACAAGGTGGCACTCGGAGGTAAATGTTGGAATCGTAATAAGGCCGGGGGTAGCCATAAGGTTGGAACAGGGCATAAGGTTGGAACATGGAACTTGAAAGTGTATTCTTGTGACATGAAGTGTCACTGTGGCATGTAGTTGCCAATGTGTGTATGCGTTTCTTTGCTAGTGAGCATGTCGAGTGGTATTCTACTTTGTGAACAGTAGAATACGCCTCGAGTTGTATTTGGTTAATGTTGTTGTCCTTGTCTTGTTGTTGTCTTGGGATGTTGATTTCCCTTGTTCCTTTGAGAGTGAAATAGAGTCTTTGCAATTGACTTCTCTCTATGACTTTTGAACTGATATATACTGTATTCCGTTTCGAAAATGGTTTTGTTTTATACTATCTATATATGCTACTTAATGCGTATTGATGGGTTACCAACATTATTCGCTGACCGGGCGTCGTCCCCTTTCTTTATGTTGCTTTACAGGTCTTGAGTAGCTTATGGCGAGTGCGTTAGCTGTTGGTTTTAGCGTAGCTCCCTTGGACTTGTAGGTAGTGTTTTTGGGCCTGTGTGACGTGGTTATGTTGAACAAGATAGTATGTTGGTTTTAGACTTGCCTGTGCATCCACATTGAGGTGAATGTGGCATAACACTTCCTGTTTTCACGTTTCTAATTAAAGTCTTCCGCTGTTGTTTAAGTTTTATGATATCTGTTAGTTACCATGCCTTATGAATTTAAGTTTTAAAATGTCATGAAAATCGGGGGTGTTACAGTTGGTATCAGAGCCTAGGTTTGAGCATAGGATGTTAGAGTCTGGACTTTTAAGAAGTTAAGTGTGGTTTGAGACCCTAAGGTGACCTTAAATATCTAAGTGTTTAGGACTTAGGATTTTTAGGACGCGTGGTGAGCTGTGTGTTGTTTATCGTTGGTTCTGCTTGCTTGTTGTTTCTGCTTAGTTTCGTGTTCTTTTAGTTAGCGACAGGTAAGGGTGCGTTGTTGTTTGTGCCTACCGTAACCGTGTTGTTGTTGTAGAAGCTTTGTCATGGCACCACCTCGTCAACGCACTCGTACGCCGGAGACACCAACTAACGAACAGTTGGCCCAGAACTTGCAACACCTCACGCAGACCATGCAAACCTTGAGTGAAGCTCTCCTGCACAACAATCATCCTGCTCCGCCACCACAGCCTGCCGGACACCGGGATGTGGGACGCCTTGTATCGGGCCATAGACCCCCGACGTTTTCCGGAGAGGAGGACCCTATCGTACTCGAGGAATGGATCCGAACCGTCGACAAGATCCTCTCCGTCGTAGGGTGCCCCAAGGAGCGCCGAGTGGAGTTAGCATCCTTCTACTTCAGTCATGAAGCTGACTTGTGGTGGGTGCACGAGGGACCCGCATGCCTAGAGGAGCTCGACTTCGACTAGACGGCTTTAAAGGACCGGATGAAAGAGAGGTTTTACCCGGAACATGTCTCAGCTGCTATGTACGAGGAGTTTCTACACCTCCAACAGGGTTCATCGTCTGTGGTGGAGTACCACAAGAGGTTCTTGGAGCTCGCTCGTTTCACTAGGATGCTTGTCCCCACCGAGCTCGCGAAATTTGAGAAGTCCGTGGCTAGAATTAACTACGAGGCTCGTAAGGCGTTGACCGTGAGCAAGCCGAGGACCTTAAAGAAAGCTTATCTGAGTGCTGCTGACTTATACCGGGGTACAACAACTGCAACGAGGATCGTATGAGCTTTCTAGGATGAGGAACGAAAGCGGTGGATCCCACAACTTCAAGAAACCAAGACTGGACTTGGGAGCCAAGACCGCACCTTCACCACCCCAAGGATCAACCCGAGTGGAGCCCGGTGATCAAGTTAAGAGGTTCGCATGCAGAAACTGTGGGAAAGGACTACCAATGGAATGCTTTACGGTGTTTCAAGTGCGGAGAGAGAGGACACAAGGCTGCCGTATGCCCTCTACAAGCTAATCAAAGAGCGTTGCCACCTAGCTCGGGATCCGGTACGGTGGAACATCGGGAGGGAGTTCAAGTCGAGGAGCAGCTGGAGCTAGACCTTCGGGTCGGGTGTTTGTGATGGGACGATCCCAGGCTGAGACGGAGGGGTTGGTTGAGGATGAGATGACATGTAACCCTTTTCTAAGCCTATCTTTATCTTGAGAGTGTGCATTTTCCTTGTTGGCCTTTTCCCTTGTCATATGATTCTTTTGGCATTTTAAGTGAGATTCTTTCATGAAGTTAATTGTTTATCTCTAAGTGGGTCGTGCTTGTGTTAATCCCGTAGCCTTGCATATGTGCTCTTTTAACTCAACCTTTCTTGTGGGTCATCTAAGTGCTTCTTGTGTAGCCTAAAAAGACCAAGAAAATTTTAATTTGTAACCACCAAGTTTCAAACCCAGGTGTGTAAGTTACACAATCAAACTCGTGAACCACTTGATCCAATTATATTTCTTAAACATTATTTTATTTATAAATTCCATTTAACCTATTATTTTTCACTTTACCCAAAAATCCCCAAATTAAAACCTTCTTCTTCCCAAATTTCCCCAAATTCCCAAACCCTTCATTCTTCCCTCTTCCACCCGTGAGACACCCGAACGCCCCCCCCCCCCCCCCCCTACCCGTCGCCGACCCGTCCCTGCCGATGCCGACCAGCCGCCGTGCGAAACCTCGCCACCATTGCCACCGTCGCCGACCGCCGTCGCTGCCGCCATGCTCTGCTGTCTAATCGCCACAGTACCCTCGTGTACTGAGCGTTCAGCGGTATTGATTGGCGGTTGTTGGAGGGGGAACGACGGTTCCCGGAGGCAAAATGTTGGACTTGGAAGTACAGGGTGGCACTCGGAGGTAAAGGTTGGAACCGTAATAAGGTCGGGGGTAGCCATAAGGTTGGAACAGGGCATAAGGTTGGAACTTGGAACTTGAAAGTCTATTCTTGTGACATGAAGTGTCACTGTGGCATGTAGGTGTCAATGTGTGTATGCGTTTCTTTGCTAGTGAACATGTCGAGTGGTATTCTACTTTGTGATCAGTAGAATACGCCTCGAGTTGTATTTGGTTAATGTTGTTGTCCTTGTCTTGGGATGTTGATTTCCCTTGTTCCTTTGAGAGTGAAATAGAGTCTTTGTAGTTGACTTCTCTCTATGACTTTTGAACTGATATATATTGTATTCCGTTTCGAAAATGGTTTTGTTTTATACTATCTATATATGCTACTTAACGCGTATTGATGGGTTACCAGCATTATTCGCTGACCGGGCGTTGTCCCCTTTCTTTATGTTGCTTTACAGGTCTTGAGTAGCTTATGGTGAGTGTGTTAGCTGTTGGTTGTTGCGTAGCTCCCTTGGACTTGTAGATAGTGTTTTGGGCCTGTGTGCCGTGGTTAGGTTGAACAAGATAGTATGTTGGTTTTAGACTTGCCTGTGCATCCACATTGAGGTGAATGTGGCATAACACTTCCTGTTTTCACGTTTCTAATTAAAGTCTTCCGCTGTTATTTAAGTTTTATGATATCTGTTAGTTACCATGCCTTATGAATTTAAGTTTTAAAATGTCATGAAAATCGGGGGTGTTACATCACCCACGGAGATGATGGGCGAATCTGGTGAGCCTTGATTAGTCGACTCGACGCCGACACTTGGACGAGCGGCACGTTTATGAGTCGGCCCCGCGCCGGCATGCTGATGAGCCAGCTCCACGGCGACACTTGGATGAGCGGCACGTTGATGAGCCGACCCCGCGCCGGCACGTTGATGAGTCGGCTCCACAACGACACATGGATGAGTCGGACCCGCGTCGGCGCTTTGATGAACTGGCCCCGCGCCGGCACCCTGACAAGTCGGCCCTGGTCGAGAGGCTGCAGAGAAGAATTGAAGAGTTAGCGTAGAAGGTGGACGCACGAGAGCAATCGCCGGAACCCGAGGTACGGATGGCAGCACCATTTTCCCCAAGTATAATGGATGTGCCTCTGCCGAGGGACTTTAGGTTGCCCGCCATCAAAGCATACACGGGGACCACCGACCCACGTGTCCACATGACGCGGTATAAGGCTGCTATGGTAATGATCGGGGCGGGGGATGTCGTCATGTGCCGAGCATTCTTGTCCACTGATGGACAATTTTAAATAATATATGTCCTCGCAAGTGCACGAGTCAGTGTAGTAATAAGGTGCCAAAGCAAGGGTCGAACCCACAGGGAATTGATACAATGCAATTTAACAACTAAACTTAAAAGAAATAATTGACTTGATAATTAAAAGTTCTTGAATAAAATGCCAAAGATGATCAATTAGACTCAGGAAGTTAAATAATAAAATTAAACAAGGAAGCAGAATAGCAAATAGATTAAACTAAACAGCGCAGACAAAAATAAAGGCAGGTAAAACAATTGAATAACCTTGAAACCAAATAGCAAGTAAATAAAGACTAAGAACCAGAATCAACTATCATTACTAGTTTTGCAGATTAATTCAACTTTGTCAATCAACTAATACAAATTGTTCATAGTAAGGTCATCATATTCCACAAAAACGAATTGAAGATTTGCCTAGTAGAGTATAAAGTAATGAAATCATAAAGCATAACATTCAAAACAGAAAACACAAAATAAATTAACAAATAAAAAGAATGAAAGAGATTAAAGAAACACAAAATAAATTATAAAAAGAACGAAGAGGATAATGAGTTGCAATAAGAAACCGATGCTGCCGAATCTAAACTAAATGAAATTCTTGCTTCTAAATAATTATCTAAACGAATTAAAATCTTTGCTGCCAAACCAGAATAACTCTGCTGCTTCACCAAAAATAATAATAATAATAATAATAATAATAATAATAATAATAATAATAATAATAATAATAATAATAATAATAATAATAATAATAATAATAATATTAGAATCCGCGTCACCCAGATGGACCGGAGCCGCGGCTATAATATTATTATTATACTCGTATTGAAATCCGAGGCACCCTCTTAGACCGAAGCCTCGGATTCCCATTCAACATTTACCCTAACTACCAGATTGGGCGAATTGAAGTTTAACCTATGTTTAAAAAAAAAAAAAAAAACACCGATCACAGCAGCAGCGCTGAGAGCTGAGCCAGTCGTCGTCCGCGTCGTGTAACACCCCCCAAACATGCTATATAAAAAACCTTAACACATGCAGATCATACAACAAAACTAGCACAACAGAAGATAAAACGGAAACTGGATAGAAGAAATCTAAACGGGGTGTTATGCCACGTCTACCAAACACGATAAACGCTACGGCAATCAATCTGCAAGTGTATACATCTATCCCAAAAGGTAACAGTCTAACACTACAACGGCACACATGCCACAAAACAAAGGTAAAGATACTAGACTGCCGGCCACTAACATCGTGCTCGTCTAGACATCACCTGAAAGATACAAAGATAAACATTGGGACGACGCCCGGTTAGCGATAATGCTGGTAACCCACCAATACCTGTTAAGTATCATACATAGGTAGGGTATATACAAAAATCATTTCGAAACGGAATACATATATATATAAGTGTAAAACCAAGAGTAAACACCAACTCAAGACTCAACACTCATCAATAAACACCACGGGAACACATCCCAAGACCACAACGGATAACGACACCACAAGGATCAAGACACGACAACCGGCACACATGCCTAGGCATCACATGCCTTTGTGACTACACACGTCACAAGAGAGAACACACAACCACGGCTACACAAGCCCTCGTGACATCACCCGCCACGAGTTGATATGCCTTCCTTATGCCCTGTTCCAACCTTATGGCTACCCCCAACCTTATATCTAGTTCCAACCTTTACCTCCAGGACCCCTGTACATACAGTCCAACCTTATTCCCCCGGGAACCGTCGTTCCCCCTCCAACAGTCCTCCAACAAAGCCACCGATTCATAGTACACGAGGTACCGTACACGCACATGGCACACATGCCCGGATAACACCTGTTATCCCCCAAAAACGTGAACCTTACACAAAGGCCACATCTCCATAATCACGCCACGGCCACCACGAGGACCGCTGCAATACCTTGGTGACTAGTGTCCCATACCACTAATCGTGCAATCCAGGTAAAGCCACACACGCACCACAACTCAACAAGAGTCAAACAACGGATCACAACGAAGGTATGAAACATACTCAATCAAGGAACGGGTCACAGCCCAACAACATCAACGATGAATAACACAAGTTATCATCAACCAAACGGAAGGTACAAACCACACACACGCTAGCATTAAGACAATAAACTAGCATGCTTAACAACGGAGAAACTCAAGATAGTTCCGAGGAACACACAAGACACCTCTCGGTCCAACGAAACACAATGTTGAACACTTAGCACGATTCAAGACACCAAAGTCCTACATGGATACCTACCATATAGTTCTAGACATACGAAACATCAAGAAGACGCTCAAATAGTTCCACAAAAGAACATCGGGAAGTCAAAAGACCAAATATCGAGTCAAACGAATCACGGGGAACAAATCCCATCACAACACCAACCATGTACCCGTAGGTGGACCCACGGGTAGTGCCCCACCCGTGGTCCTGCCCGCGGGAACATCATCCCACAAGGCTATGTACCCGCGGGTAGGCCGGCGGGTGGTGCCCCGCCCGCCGTTCCGCCCGCGGGTACACACTTGTACCACAACAAATCCCTTCGGGGATTTTCTTCTCCAAACACAAATTCAAGTCCAAAACATGCCAAATCTCACCCAACACAAAAAAATGACTTGAATCATGGAAAATTCCAAGCAATGGCACAAAGGAACCCTAAACACAAGCTCTAGATATGCAATATCACAAGACAAATGCATAAACCCTCACATTTCATAGCAAAGAACAAGTAGAATCCAAGAAATCACATATAGGTAAGCAAAATAGGTTTTATTAGAGCATGGGTTACCTCTTGTAGACCAAAAGACTTCACTTTACACCTCAACAAGCTCCTTACAAGGCTTACTATCCAAACCCACTTCAAGATCAAACCAAAAGATCATAAAGATCCTACTTTTAAGAAAAAGACAACTAAGATGGAACCAAAAACACAAGATGGACTTAGATCTTACCCTCCTAGATGCCCAAATAGGTGAAAGGTTGAATCTTGGGAGCAAATCTTGGAATCTTGACAAGGGTCTCAACTTGGCTTGGAGAATAAGCTACACTTCTTTTCTAGAGAGAAGGTAGAGCTAATTTCTAGGAATTGTAAGGAATGAAATGAAGAAGTCTTCTAGGTTATGTTACAATACTAACTCTTGGTGAAAAGTCAAGAATACCCTTACTAACCTTTAGAAAGTGTAAGGAACAAGGGAACTCCCCTCAAAGCTCAAGGTACAACACAACTTTAAGGTTGACTAGTCAAATACTAGTCCTTGAGCATTAAAAATCAGGATTTTAGGAATTAATTCCTCAAATAAAATAGGATTAATTACTCAATTAATCCATGGATTGAATGTGGATTTTTGGGGTGTCACATGTCGTCCCGGCCTTCTCCTTCGATCATCGTCTGTCAGCTCGCCGTCCGTCCGTCCGTCCGCCATCCCGGCTCTCCACCTCGCCGCTCGCCGCCAACAGTCACTTTGCAAGTAAGTTTAATTTTACGTTTTTTTTTTAAAATTTATTTTGTATTTTAATTGTTTAATTTTACGCAGCAGTCACCGTAGTTTAATTTTACGCAGCAGCAATTTATTTTATTGATTTAAAAATAAATTTTTAGTAAATTAAAATTGAATATTTAATATATTAAAAATGAATCTTTTGGTAGTTATTCATCCCCTTTTTCTAGCTTTTTCAATTCTGAGATCACCAGAAATTAATATATGGAGGAGGAGATGAGAAGATTTTATGGGTGCAGTAGTGGTTGTTTGAAAAGTGAGTCAGCTTGCGTATATGATGTGCCTAATTGAAAATAACAAACTTACCTACCTAACACTTGAAGCAAAGGGGCCTGAGTTTCCACTCTCTTCTACTTCAAGAATTGTAGGTTTGGATGGAGATCGGATGGTTAGTTTGGAAGTTTGAACACCTTGTGATTATCAAGTTATTTGTCCAACTAACTTAGTTTGGATTGCCCAAAATGCAATAAATTGAGACAAAGAGTAGAAGAGGTTATATCATGCAGGAAAATTCAACAATAATTAGAAATAGAAAATGATGCATATTTAGTTAATTACACAATTTATAAAGGCTTCGAATATGTTGTCACTCTCTTTTTAACTAGTAGTATTCTTTATCATTGTTTGACTATATATAGAAAGTGATGCATCTCTAATGATAAAGTATTTAGCCAGAGTTTTCATTCCCCACAGAATGCAAATAACGTACGACTGATGTTAAATAATAATTGGATATTGGTTAAAAATCATAAGTTTTCAAAGCCAGAATATATGAAGATAGCATACTGAAGAGTGTACACAAACCAGAAAAACTAAAACAGAAGAAAAGAACATGGGCAGGCAGATTACACATACCAAACAAAGCGGACTTATAATTAGTTATAGGACATAAACAAGCATTGGTTTCAAAATAGTATTATTTGATCTAATAATGTTAGTTTAAGGTGTCAAATCTTAATATTAGTGACACAAATATTAAAATAGTATTATTTCTAAGTATATGAAATAAATGGTATTTCATAGCTAGTACTATAATTGACAGATATGGATCGGAGTTGGATGTATGAAAAACGCACTACATTCAAATATATACAAGGGGTTCAAGAGTTTATAGAATGTGCTGAAAAAAATAAATGTCAAAAGGCCGAAGATTTTATATCGTGCCCGTGTTGTGATTGTAAAAATTTGAAAAGATATCGTAGTTCTGAAGAAGCGAAAATCCATTTAATACGCCGTGGCTTTAAGGAATGGTACGATCAATGGATATGGCATGGTGAAAGCTTACCTCATAGTACAAGTGTTAGTAAGAATGAAGCTCATGCAGACAGTCAAACTCATGCAAAGAGTGAAACTGAAGCAAATAGTCGAACTCAGGCAGATAACGAGGAGAATGATGAGGATGATGGAATTAAAGACCGAATAGATGAAATGATGCGTGATATGCAGGGAGATTGTAGTGAAATGCCTCTTGAATTTAAATGTTTGTTTGAGAATGCTGAAAAACCTTTGTTTTCTGGGTGTGCCAAATATACTAAGTTATCTGGTGTGCTTAAATTATATAATTTAAAAGCAAATAATGGATGGAGTGATAAGAGTTTCACGGGATTATTAGAACTAATAAAAGACATGCTTCCTAATGATAATGAACTTCCAAATTCAACTTATGAAGCAAAGAAGTTGTTGAGTCCGTTGGGTATGGAAATTGAGAGGATACATGCATGTCCAAATGATTGTATATTGTATTGAAAAGAATACAAAGACTTGCATGTATGTCCAAAGTGTGGGTCATCGCGTTACAAAAGGAAAAATGTTGGTGATGAACCAAAGAATAAGAAAGGTCCACCAGCCAAAGTGTTATGGTATTTACCTGTAATACCAAGATTTAAACGCATGTTTGCTAATCCAAGGGATGCAAAAAATTTGCAATGGCATGCTATTGGGAGAAAAGACGATGGAAAACTAAGACACCCAGCCGATTCACCACAATGGAGGAATATTGATAGGAGGTGTCCTAAATTCGGTACTGAAAATAGGAGTCTTAGACTTGGATTGTGTACTGATGGAATGAATCCTCATGGTAACATGAGTAGTCGACACAGTACTTGGCCTATCCTTTTAGTAGTCTACAATCTTCCACCTTGGTTGTGTATGAAGCGAAAATACATCATGTTATCGTTGTTAATATCGGGCCTAAACAACCAGGAAATGACATAGATGTATATCTAGCGCCACTTATTGAAGATTTAAAATTGTTGTGGAATGAAGGTGTGTCGGTGTATGATGCTTATACTCGAGAAAGTATTACCTTACGTGCAATGATCTTTTGCACCATAAATGATTTTCCAGCCTATGGTAACCTATCAGGTTATACTAATAAAGGAGCTAAGGCATGTCCTATTTGTGAAGATGAAACAGTCAATCTATGGTTGAACAACAGTAAAAAGAATGTGTTCATGAGTCATAGGACATTTCTTCCAATTGACCATCCTTATCGAAAGAAGAAAAAAGCTTTCAATGGAGAATCAGAGACTGGAGTAGCTCGTTTGTCTTTATCTGGTTTAGTGGTTTATGACTGTGTTAAAAATGTTAATGTTGCTTTCAGCAAAACGTGTAAGACTACTCAGAAGACTCTATGGAAGAAGAGGTCTATATTTTGGGATCTACCATACTGGAAGCATTTAGCTGTTAGACATTGTCTTGATGTAATGCATATTGAGAAGAATGTTTGTGACATCATTATTGGAACACTATTGAACATTCAGGGAAAGACAAAAGATGGTATTAAAGCTAGAAAGGATATGGTTGTAATGGGAATACGGGAGAAATTAGCACCACAAGAAATGGGAAAACGGGCATACTTACCTCCAGCTTGTCATACTTTGTCAAAAAAAGAGAAAACAAGTTTTTGTGCTTGTTTAAATGGTGTCAAGGTCCCTTCCGGTTATTCATCGAATATTAAAAAACTTGTGTCAATGAAGGACCTTAAATTGGTTGGCATGAAGTCTCATGATTGTCATGTATTAATGCAGCAAATGTTACATATTGCTATTCGAGATTTTTACCCAAACATGTTAGGGTAGCTATAACAAAACTTTGTTTCTTTTCAATGCTATTTGCAGTAAAGTTGTTGATGCAGATGTGTTAGATGCTTTGCAGGCTGAAGTGGTTGTTACTTTGTGTCAACTTGAAATGTATTTTCCCCCATCCTTTTTTGATATTATGGTGCACTTGATTGTTCACTTGGTAAGGGAAATAAAGATGACTGGTCCGGTTTTTATGAGATATATGTATCCGTTTGAAAGATACATGGGAATATTGAAAGGATATTTGAGGAACAGATATCGACCTGAAGGAAGTATAATTGAAGGTTATGGTTCTGAAGAGGCAGTTGAGTTTTGTACTGATTATTTAGCTAATGTTGAGTCTATTGGTAATCCCAAGCCTATTCATGAAGGAAGACTCAGTGGGAAAGGTACTATTGGATTTAAACACTTTGTTCCACCTACTAATTTACGAGATAAGGCACATCATCTCGTATTGGAACACCTTACTGAGGTTCATCCGTACTTGGAGCAACACATGTCTATGATAAGACAACAAAATCCTTCAAAGGGTGAAAGAAGGGTGGTTATATTGAACACAATTGCACTTTCATAAGATGGTTCAATGATATTGTGATGAAAGAGCTATCTCAAGTGCCAAATAATGTCAGTGAAACCATCAAATGGTTATCATATGGGCCTAAATTACTTGTGAATTGTTATGAAGGTTATGACATAAATGGATATACATTTTACACCAAGCGACAAGATGAAAAGAGTGTGGTGCAAAATAGTGGGGTTACATTAGTAGCAACATCAAAAGATTATTCAAGTGCTAAAGATACTAAACCGATTGATGTTGTTATGCCTTACTATGGTGTGATTGAAGAGATTTGGGAAATCGATTACAATGTATTTCGAATTCCTCTATTCCGTTGTAATTGGGTTGATAATAGAAGGGGCGTTCAAATAGATGGATTGGGTTTTACTTTGGTTGATTTTGGTCGGTTAGGTTATCATGATGAACCATTCATACTCGCATCTCAAGCAAAATAGGTGTTTTATGTTTCTGATCCTGTGGATAAAAAGTGGTCAATTGTTTTACAAGGCAAGAGAAGTATTGTTGGTGTTGGAGATGTTGTTGATGAAGAAGAGTATGATCATTTTGATGAAACTCCTCCATTTTCAATTGGTATTCAGTCTTTATCTTCAGAGGATAATAACCTTGAAATTAGTTACATGCGTAGTGATCATGAAGAAGATTGTGGGTTGACCATCGGCCATCATAGTGTTTTGCTGTAAGATTTATGAATTGTTGACAATATCTTTTGTTTTGTATTTTATTAGACTTGAAATACAATATAACATGTTTATTGATATATATTTTTGCATGTGCAGGTATATATAGACAACCATGACTGATCATACTAGAGAAACCTCTAGTCCAACCCCTAAAGAAACTCGTACTGTACCTAAAAGAATAGGTCCCAATTCATGCAAAAACATGAAAAAGAAAAAGGGCAAAGGTGAAATATCAGTTGCGTTTGATGAGTTTAATAGGCCAGTTGGCGAGTATAAAAAGAAATGTGTCTCTTATTGATGGAATAATCACGGAGCAGGATCGGAGCAGAGCAGTGCGGAGCGGGTTGGACCCGGCACCCATGGACTACCCGCAACCCGTGGCGAACCGCCCCAGGGTCGGCCCAACGTGAGTTCGGCTCGGCGTTGGCCGACCTCCACGAGCTCGGCCACGGACCCATGGGCTCGGCCACGTGGGCTCCACGAGCTCGGCCACTAGGTCCTCGCGTGGAGCGAGTCTTGCGGAACGGGCCGCGGCTCCTCCCGCGGACCCAGTGCCCGTAGCGGCCGGGGGGTATATAAACACCCCTCGGTTTCCTAATCAATCATTTTCTACTTCCTATCTACAATTGTATTGTTATTGCACGTCCCAAACCCCTATAATAGCACTATACACTCAATTAATACAATATTTATCATTTTGTTATCCGTTCGTCATATTTAATCATATATACGGGTTGTATAATCCGGACCCCCGAGTTCATATAATCCATCATTGGTGCTCTAGTTGAGAGCGGCTGTACAAGCTTAAGCTCTTTCCCTAATATCATTCATCCACTGCGATGACAAGATCCGGGTCGAACACCCACAACTTGCAGGGTTCACGCAACACACGCGACCTCTCCCTCGCCAACCACCCCAACGGGGCCACGGCGAGTCGGCAGACCGTGCCCGTGGTGGCGGGAGGGGACCTTCGAGATCAAATCAACGTGAGTCGGCGGGGGACAGCAGAGGACCTCCGGGGTCGGCTCACCAACAATCGCCCGCAGGGTCGGCCGACATCGAGGTCGGCCGGCGCGGTGTTGGCCGACCTGAGGACGACCACACCGGGGAGGCCGGACATGGCGGTTGCGTACTTGGTGACCCCGACGGCCAACTCAGACATAGTGCATGCCCTAGGGGTGGTACGAGGTCCGACCTCGCCTATCGCCGAACGGAAGGATTCGGGGTGCGAGGCAAAGGACTCCACCCCCAGAATTGCTAAAGCGTCCTAGGGGCGGTACGAGGTCCGCCCTCGCCTATCGCCGGACGGGCGTAACGTGATCCCAACACCCTAGGGGTAATACGAGGTCCGACCTCGCCTATCGCCGAACGGAAGGATTCGGGGTGCGAGTCAAGAGACTCCATCCCAGGAATCGCTAAGATGTCCTAGGGGCGGTACGAGGTCCGACCTCGCCTATCGCCGGACGGGCGTAACGCAATCCTAACACCCTCGGGGCGGTACGAGGCCCGGCCTCGCCTATCGCCGAACGGAAGGATTCGGGATGCGAGTCGAGAGACTCCATCTCAAGAATCGCTAAGACGTCCTAGGGGCGGTACGGGGCCCGACCTCGCCTATCGTCGGACGGGCGTAACGCAACCTTGACACCCTAGGGGCGGTACGAGGCCCAACCTCGCCTATCGCCGAACGGAAAGATTTTGGGGTGCGAGTCAAAGGACTCCAACCCCAGAATCGCTAAAACGTCCTAAGGGCGGTAAGAGGTCCGACCTCGCCTACCGCCGAACGGGCGTAACATAACCCCAACACCGTAGGGGCGGTACGGGGTACCCGACCTCGCACATCGCCGAACGGGTAACACAACAGTGAGGAACAAGTTCCCGGAGTGAGTGGTCGAGCTCACGAGGTCGGCCGGGTGAAGGCCGCGGCAATCGTTATACCATACACCACGTTGCACGTAGGTCTATGCGCCTACGGGCAAAACGGTGGCGTTTTAATATTACTCCGTTAGTGGATATTTGACGGGACGGGCGCCTCTCCGTCCGTCCAATCACATTTAATATATATATATATATATATATATATATATATATATATATATATATATATATATATATATATATATATATATATATATATATATATATATATATATATATATATATCAAACCTTTCTTCTTCACGAAGCCTTTCAATTACCACTCCCTGCAATTCAAAAACGATCACATTTTTTCCGCGAATTACGCCAAAAACCTCAAAAACTTCACCACATTCTTCTGCAAAAGGGCATACAACATCGCAACGATACAAGTAAGCATAACTACTATTACTTCTCATTCCAAACATTCATGCTATTACTTCATTGTGTTAATACAGCAACGATACCAAGGGTTACATATTACTTGGACTTGTGTATATTCTGGTATAAGATTATGTACATGACTGTTTTCAGGTCCTATGCCTTATCATTGATAACCGCTATTTTTATACTCCACATTATGTGTATTCCTGATATATGTTATGTGTATTCATGGTATATGTTATGTGTATTCATTCATTATATTATGTACATTGGTGTTCTCAGTTGCTATACCTCATCATAGATAGTCATTATTCTTCTATTCCAAAATTATGTGTATCCTGGTTATATGTTATGTGTATTTCTTCATAGCATTATGTACATTGCACATTTGCATCCCTGCAAACTTCTCAATCCCAGTATATTGTCTGTCTGGTGTTAATATTAGTGCTACCTAATACTTAAAACTGTTATTATGTGTATTATGTTATTATGTCAACTAGGGTTACATATTACTTATACTTGTGTTTATTCTGATATAATATTAAGTACATTAATGTTCTCAGTTCCTATACCTCATCATAGATAACCATTTTTCTTACATTAATGTTCTCAGTTCCTATACCTCATCATAGATAACCATTTTTCTTATATTCAACATTATGTGTATCCTAGTTATATATTATGTGTATTCATTCATTAGATTATGTACATTGTATATTTGCACCCCTGTAAAATTCTCAATCCCAATCTACTGCCTGTTTGGTGTTAATATTAGTGTTACGTATTCCTTATATTTGTATTTATGTGTATTGTGTTGTTACAGATATGTCAACCCCTACACCCACTAATCCCCAGAGATCTCCCAGAAAAAGGAATGTTGCACCTACATCAACACCTACAACCACGTCTGATCCTACACTACTACAAATTGCCAGAGAGGGTAAACGAAAGAAAAATATCGCTGCTTCGTCAAAGGGTGCTGAAACATGTTCTGAATCACCAAATGTTGAAACCAGTACAAATGCCGGTGATGCCCCCAAACAGCCTGCTGCCAAAAAACAAAAGAAAACCCATGCCAGTGCAGCTGCTGAACCTGCCAAAAAACAAAAGAAAACCCATGCCAGTGCAGCTGCTGAACCTGCCAAAGCCCCAAAGAGCATAAGAAGTAATGAAAAACAGAAGAGGAGAAAACCAAGAAACAATGATTATTTATCTGTACGGACCTCCCCAAAGCAGCTCTGTGCACTCGTCAGTAGTCTGAGCCCAGAACAGCACCAAGCTGTTCGAGATATTGGATTTGGATCCCTTTTAAATGCAACACTGTCCTTGTGTGATTGTGAACTTCTGAGATACCTTCTAGAGCGCTTTGATGTTGGTAGATGCTCAATACATATGGAAGAGGAGGAGCTCCTTCTAGGAGATGATGATGTACAGAAAACACTTGGCATCCCCAGAGGCCAACAGACTGTTGTGGAGGCTGAAATAACAAGCAAGGACCCACAGTTCACTGGCTTGGTTGCACTTTGGAGACAGCGGTGGGGAGTGATGACAGGCACACCAACTACAAGCCAGATGCTGAATGGCATTATTGAGAGCCGTGATCATGGAGACATGTTCAAACGTGACTTCATAATATATGTTGTTTCCACATTGATAAGAGGCTTCAAGAACATGTTCTGCAACTACAGGCTTCTGTATTCACTGCAAGCAAGATGTCAGCAAGATCCAAACTTCAACTGGTGTGCTTACACGATACGATCTCTGGTTGACACCACCACAACATGGAGGGGCAAACGTGATGCAGCCTTCACTGGTCCTGCAACTTTCCTAATGGTATGCACTCTGTATATTGACCTATAACCTTATGTGTATTCATTATATACATTATGTACATTGTAGACTATAATTATGTACATCTTTTAATAACTTTATGTGTATCCTACTCTGCCAACCTAAACATAAACTGATACTGATTTTGAATGGTTTATCTTCTTCTTTTTTTTTTTTTTCTTTTTTTTTTTTTGTTTCTCTATTTGAAGCTGGCATACCTAGACAAAGTGCAGGTTAGAGGAGAAATAGTCAGAAAGAGAATTCCCACCATCACTTCATGGACTTCAAGTGATTTGAGGGCAAGGGTCATGGTTGAAAGTGACATAGGCGGCTTTGGAAAGGGCAAAGTCGTTGAATATATCCCAGATGCACATCAGCCACCACCTCCTCAACTGCCACCGCCCCGTGAACTGCCACAAGGTCAGGAAGTTGAAAAGGTCACCACCGCATTGAAAAAGATGACCACGAGCATTATGGAGTTCGGTGAGGTCATGGCAGATGTTGGGGCAAACACCTCTATTGTTGAGATTATAAAAAATGTGTTTAGCAACTTATCCGCCACTGCCAACCTCACCCCAAGCCCGAATCCAACCCCACCGGAAAACTTACTACGAGATGATGCTATCTACAACCAACCCAGTTTCTTGGATGCGGTTGCTGAACTTGAAGCGGCATTCCTGGCAACATTGAAGAACATGACAACTGCTGACATACCCGCACCAACTTTTAATCTCCTGACGCCAACTAGCCGTGACGCTACTCCCAAAGAGGCCCCAAGAAATGCAACTCCACCTGAAACAACACCACCTCCGCCCGAACCCACATCTGAACCCCGAGCAGCAACTCTATCAGCATCACCCACCACACCACCACCATAAACAACCGAAGGAAACACAGCAGCAGCAGCACTTACCCCAATTGCAACACTCTTGGAGAATATCGTTGATGACATAGCTGATGGTTCACCCCAATCACTACCAGCAACTGAACAGAAAAATCCAGAACAAATTGAATTTGATAGGTAAAACTCACATATCACTTAACAGTATCCTTGTATGCATTTATCCTTGTTAATTATTTAATCATGTTGTTATGCCTACTGCTTAACACATTAAAACATGTTCCTAATTACTTTTCTGTCTCTACAAAGCATCATTGCTGAATCTGAAGATGATGTTGAAGATGTCAATGTCCGGAAGAGGCCACAGCGAAAGTTCAAAAACCTCCCTCTGGCTTGTCGATCCCCGTACTGGACAAGCAACATTTCAAAGCTCAAGAATGTTTCCGCCAGGGAAAAACTGATCTCAGACTATGCATTCCTGCCATCAGATGAAACTGAGTACCCTTATTAGTATGTATTTCATTTATAACTTGTTATAACAGATGCTTTAAGTTGATATACCACATTATGTGTATTCATGATATTTGTTATGTGTATTCATGATATATGTTATGTGTATTCATTCATAATATTATGTACATTGGTGTTCTCAGTTGATATACCACATTATGTGTATTCCTGATATATGTTATGTGTATTCATGGTATATGTTATGTGTATTCATTCATGATATTATGTACATTGGTGTATCCTGGTTATATGTTATGTGTATTACTTCATGACATTATATTACTTTAAATTGTGAAATGTTTATTTTGTAATATCAACTTGTTTTGTTTGTTTCCAGTGAAATGTTGTTTTCTGCCCATGATCTGTTTGCAACGAGGGAGGACATTGCAACATTGGCAAATGGACAACTAGCTACAAATATCCTGCAAATCTGGGCACACAGATTGACGATGCTTGATATGAAAAGATCAATTGATCAACCAAAAAGGATCTTCTTCTCGGAAGCTGCTTACGTAAGTACACATCTAGAACTAACGCATTTTTTAAAACAATGTACTATATGACACACAACCTCTTCTTTACAGATGACGCTTGAAAATGTTGAAATAAAAGCAAGGAATATGGATATAGGTGACTTCTGTGCAAATATTAACTACCAGTTGAGGGGGACTACAATTGATATCACAGATGCAAGTCTTGTAAGTAAAACAATATATATATATATATATATATATATATATATATATATATATATATATATATATATATATATATATATATATATATATATATATATGAATTCTAAGATTATAATTTATGTCTGTATTTGACACAGTTTGTTAAATACCTTTTAATTATTCATTTCAGGTTTTCTTTACAATCTTGAGGCACAATCACTACTACTTGATGTGCTTTAACATCCCCAACTCAAAACTTCAGATCATTGATAACAAGCTAATGCCCAAGGGAATACCAAATACGAACAGATATGAGAACTGCCCGGCTAAGTTGGTAAGATAAAATAATACTCCTATTAAATATCTATACCCTATAGTTTAATATTTACATTACTTAAATTAATTAAACACTGCAATTACTATAATGTGCAGAAAACAGCTTTCTACAAATACCTCCAATCGAAGAAAAACACCCTTGCAAGAAAAGTGAAGAATATCGAAGCTGAGTGCATTCACATGTCATGGCAAGATGAAGAGAACACAACAGATTGTGGTGTGTATTGCATGCGCCACATGGAAACTTACAAAGGGACTGCAGTAGACAAATGGGAAACTGGTTTCGTAGGGGGTGATAGTGATGTAAGTAATAATCAACTTTGTTCTACATTACACATGTTATCTCTTGTTTCTTCTAATTTTAACATGTATCTTTTGTTTACTGTAGGCTGCTTTCATTACATCGCTTAGAGCAAAATATGCAGCAAACATCATCATGTGGAAGCAAAACGAATACATGGAAACAGTCATGCAATCAGCAAGGGACAACTACAAGAAAGAGAAGTGAAACTACTAACCACAATCTGTAAAAATCAGTTCTGCTAATCCAAACACATGGTTACTTGTATTTTTGGTTCAATTTCTAGAAGTTTCAGTTGATAAACAATTATCAGAAATTTGTATATGCTCCTTTTGGTAATCCAATCTAATGTTTACTTGTATTCTATATTTTTCATATTCCCCAATATGGTTTTGTGCATAATCAATGCATATGCTACACAAACTGTGAACTATCAAAAATTGTACATAATCATATGAAGTAATACACATAACCCATATAATGAATACACATAAACTTTCAAACAGTGCACATACTACTAAAAAAAAGTCTAACAAATATTTTGTTTCTGCTAATATATATAATCAAACATCCTACTGAATGTAAACATGTACATAATACACATATGACCAAGCATATCGTTTCCCTATACTGATAACTGCAAATCTAAAAAATAAATGTACATAAATAAATAAAAGTAATTAACACAAATAAAAATGTACATAATCATATTAAGTAATACACATAAAGTATATAATTAATACACATAAACTTTTAAAACAGCACATATCATAATAAAAGTCTATTTTATTACTGCTGAGTTATGTGATTTAACATCGTTCTGTACGTGATACATATTACTACGATGATTAACACTAACATGTGCTTTAATTATCATCCATGCTTGACATTGTGCTAACGTGACAAAAACTAGAACCTCCGGAACTTGGGTGCACAAGATATCCATCGCCTGCAATATTTAAAATATCACCCTCAACTTGAGACTGAACAGCAGATTTTATTTTGGAAGCAACCATATTTGCAAGATGCTTCCGTCCCCTTGCTTTGTTATATTTCTTTGAAATAACGCTGCTCACCCTCCTATTCCGCAACCCTTTCATCCGCCTAGTAGGTGGATCCTTTATAACACCACTTGTCGATCCTATGTCACAATCTTCAAATAAACTGCCACCACATTCAGCTTCAAGTCTTCTCTTTGCATCTGCAATTGCTTCTTCACAAATCTTCCGTCCTTCGATATTTTCCTGACTATAAACAGCAAGCCTCTGAAATTTCCTAATGATTTCTAATAACCAAACAGAAGATGCACCATTACCACTATCAACTCTAGACATTATATCAACATTATCAACTTCAACAAATTTTTTAGTCCACCTCTTCAAAATATACTTCTCGGGGACTTCAGAAACACAATGCACATTTAGAATGCGTAAACAATGACAACACAAAATCCCCAATTCAGTAAACAACTTGCAACTACATCCAATGTCCATTTGTCTACTGTTAAACACCACTTCATGCCTAATAATATCAACATCAGGCCTCCAAACATGATACTTATACACACCATCTTCCAACATCACACACTCTTGATAGCATGATCCACCTTTCAAAAATTGTTCTTCAAACAAATAGTATATCTCAATTGTATAAATTTCCCTAGCATGCAACAGAATCTTAACATTATCCATCACCATTGTGGGTACACCTTGTGAACACCGAACATCTTCCCCATTCTCTCTACTTCTCCACTCTGATATGACCCCAACAAAAGAGTTATAAAAATCACACAAACCAGATGTCTTGGACAACCTTCTAAAAATAGAGTGATTGGTGGTCTCACTCCTTTGAGAAGATAAAATCCCACCCGAAAAATAATCTTTATTAAAAGCAGGACACCATTTTTCTCTACACCCATACAACTTTTCAATCCAGTGATTATTGTGACATTTATATGTTGTAACCATCCTGAAATAACATGCCATAGATATATTAAAGTAAACATACAAGCATGTCAGTATATAACATACAGAACAGACTAATGTACATAATCTTATACATGAATACACATAAACTATCAAACAGATACACATAAACTTGATCCAGAAAAATAATTCTGTATTCTGTATAATATAATCTACAACTATTCATTCAATGATAATCCATATGTAAACTAATAATAAAAACAAACAAACAAAAAAAAAAACAAAATAACGAAGCATACATGAGACACGTACCTCGTCCAGTAAAATTCAAACTCTGCCTCTGTATCCGTATACTTCAACAAGCAATTGAATATATCTAGGAAATCTTTTTGATTTCTTAACCCTTTAATGTGTTTCTTTGAGTTCTCGCCAATATGCCATATACATAGCCGATGTCGTAAACTTGGAAAAACTTGAACAATTGCAGCAGCCATAGCAGCACATTGATCAGTCATTATGCTTTGTGGACTTTTGTAATCCATAGATCTCAAAAATGTCTTAAACAACCATACAAATGACTCAATCTTCTCATTCATCAAAAAACCGCATCCAAACATAACATTCATGCAATGGTTATTCATGCCAACAAAAGGTCCACAAATCATGTCATATTTGTTAGTACGATATGTTGTATCGTGAACTAGCAAATCCCCGAACAAATCATAGTCTCTCCTCATCCGTCCATCCCTCCAAAAAAAACTACATAACCTTGACTCCAAATCCACCTCAAAATCAAAGTAAAAATCCCTTTCACTTGACTGCCTCCGTTTGAATATTTCAATCAATGTGTTTGAATCGGTACCATCCAATCTGTTCAATGCATCGGTACATAGAGAGTTATATGCATCCCTACTTGTAAACCCAACAAGTGGTGATCCCCCTGATTGTGTTTTAAGAAATCTTACACCATCTGCAACAGACACACCACTGCTCTTCAAATCAGTAAGATATGATATATGATTCCTAGACACCATCCTATGTGACCTTAGAAGGTAACTCTTGCTTGGTGGAACCAATTCATGATTATGCAAGTTCTCGTGCTTCGAAACAATCCACATCCCATTCTCATGTAAATCGAATTGGACAAATGCACCACAACCTGTACGACCATCAATTTTAGAATAACACCCTTTTCTTGTACTCCTTTTAAATCCATCCTTCGAACAATGGAACATCTTCGTCTTCATTGTTTTTGTAGCAGAACTATATCTTTGCTTACCCCTCCTCACGCTAAAACCTACTCTAAAGGCATAATCATTATACATGTCATATGCTTCATCAACCGAACACACTGACATCCCTACCAAATCCTGATCAGCTGCAAATAACATACATTTTAACTACCCATACTGTTAATGTACATAATCCATATCTACAATACACATAAACATATGGCACAATACACATAATCATTAAAATACATAAAACCTATATCGCATACTGTTAATGTACATAATCCATAACTACAATACACATACACATATGGCACAATACACATAATCATAAAACAAAACAAATCAAACCAAATAATACACGTACAACCTCACTAAAACAACAACTTCAAATCAAACCATACTAACATCCAAAACAACCACAATCAAACAGAAATTCTATATCAATTCTTATATAATTCAACAGCGAGTTCAATATATTCATCATACATCAAACACAAATACAAAATAAAATCTTAAAAATCAAATACCTGGATTAGCATCCTCTGTATCTACCACTCCAACAGGATCAGTTGTATGCTCTGTCTCCGCAACATCCTGCTGCACAATCGAATCAGACATGGCTTCCATCCAACAATTGCAGAATATGACGCAAATCAAACAATCAGGTAGCTCTCGTGTTCTCTAATCCAATATGCATGATCGGCGCGATGACACCATGTCTTTAGAGCCGCTCTCTCACTTCCCTCTTCTTACCGTTTGACGGCGTTAACAGACTAATAAAAAAATCCGTTACATAACAATTCCATACGGCGTCGTTTTGATGCTGGGCGTACATAGCTCTATACACCGGGGTGTATGGTATAAATTGCCAGGCCGCGGCGAAACGCGGGGGGTCGGCCGGCCGACCTCGTGGGCCGCCAGGCTCGCGTTGGCGGGCGAACCACCAAGGCGGCCAAACACCGGGGGGCCTCGAGGTCCGCGAGAACACCTTTTGGTGAGAAACAAGTCACGCAGAGGAGCAATCAAGACTTAGCACACAAACAAAAATAAGGAGAGCACAAGTATAGAATGAAGTAAGCAAACAGTGTCATAGCAAAGTTAACAGTTTGATGTGAACGAAGGGAAATAGTTTGGCGGCGGCCCGCGCAAAAAAATAACAACAATCCATGCAAACAAAAGAAATAGTTTGCGCAAACAACTAAACAAGACTAAGGGTCCGCCAACTCTAGCAAGGACTAAGAGAAATCAAGGATGCGTGGTCTCGTGGGTGCCCACATCACTACCCCCATGGCTAGCCGGATCAACCTGGGTCTCCTCCTATGGGGCGTCCACGCCTGCAAAGTGAAGAAGGTCGGCCGCGAAGTCCATGCTCGACGAACGGTCGGCCGCCGAGTAACGCGGGGAGGTCGGACCACCCCCCCCCCCCCCCCCCCCCTCTGCCACATCCATGGGGTCAGCTGGCTCCTCCAACACCTCGGGGTCGAAGAACGCGTCTCTCGCGCGAAGGGTGGAGTAGATCTTACTCTGCATCGAGTACTCCCCCGCCACGTACATCGCCAGTCCCTGCACCGCCACGTACTCCCGCCCCTCGGGAAGGCACATAAGATCATCCAGGGTCTCCTGCACGTGCCCGCCAAGGTAGGACTTGATATCACGAACAAAGGCCTCGGAGTCCTTGTAGCTCGACACGGCCACCCTTGCAGCCTCCTGGTGCGCCTTCAAGGCCTCCTGATGCGCTGCGCGCTCCCGCGACCGGCTATCAATCAACTCAGCATGCTGACCCTCCAGCGCCGCAAGCTTGTCGCTCACGGCCTGGCGAGCCCGCGTCTTGTCCTCCAACTGACTGCGGGTACTCTCTAACTGACCGCGGGTACTCCCCAAGACCTCCTCCATGGTCACGACACGGGCAACCGTCTACACAAGGGCAAATATAAGCAGAAGAAAAGACGGCAAGGAACAAGGAAACACATGTAATCATAAGAGAATAGTGAATACGTACCTCTAGCAAAGGTCGGAAGACGGCGTGATCCTCATGCATCGCCGCGTC